GTTAGCTGCTGCATTTCATAATTTACTGGATGTACGAGAGTTCTGTTGAAATCATGTTATGTGGTGCTTATATATTCACAATATGCAGCTAAAAATAGAACATTTTATAGCCCACCAAACAAACCACACACCCCTTAAATTTGTAATGCTTTGTTCCTTGTTAGGTTGCCACTTGGGATACATAAATGACATGCAGAGCTGTAGTCTCTGGGGCTTCATTGTATCTGTTCTAGTAGTGAAATTTGCATCCGTGTACTAGCCAGGTAAAGGATGTGCTTATTTTTAACATTTCCCTTGTTCTACTGGGAGAAAACATGGGCAAACACTTACATGACAGGGAAGAAGAGTGTGATCATAATTTATTTGGAGCACACTCATTTCTCTATTTAGAACACTCTAAGTAGTATAAGTTATTATTTAGCTCATGAAATCTACAAAATGTTACATATTTATAATACAGAAGTTGCATTACCATTTATGCACGTCTGTTTTAATTTATAAAAAAAAAAAACATATTCTTACCAGTATGTTCATCTCATAGGTTTAAATATGCTGTTTAATTTAGTTTAGTCATTCTTTTGTTAGTTACAGCATAACGCTCACGTCAGGGCTGCAGTACAAAAAAATAAAATACTTCTGCTAACCTATGAAGTTATCATTTAAAGGAGAACTATGAGGTGAGTGATTTTCACTCAATCTTATAGTTCAAGTCGACGTGTGACAATGAAACTGCCACACATCGGCTTTATAGTTCGGGAAGTGAGTGAACGCATACCGTCGCTCGCTCACTTTCCGATCATCTCCCTGCAGAGAGCGGTGACTGTCAGTCACGGCTCCCTGCAGTGATTCCCCCTCCTTCCCTCTCTGATCCTCCAGCGCTGAGTGGAGGAACGGACGGGGCGGGCACAGCTGGCTCTGCCTCTAAATAGGCAGAGCCTACTGTCACTCACGCAGCTGGGTGGATCTCAACAGTATTGTCAGGATCCGTCTTGGCTGCGGCGCTCTCAGTATATCGCGAGCTGTAGCTCGCAATATACTGAGCTTTGGGTTACGGGAGGACGCTAGTACATGTCCTCCCGTGACTCTTTTAATGCAAAATAAGACAGCTGTAACTTGAAATAAAGATAGGCAATATATAGTTTAGTTCAAGTCGATGTGTGACAATGAAACTGTCACACATCGGCTTTATAGTTCGGGAAGTGAGTGAACGCATACCGTCGCTCGCTCACTTTCCGATCATCTCCCTGCAGAGAGCGGTGACTTCAGTCACGGCTCCCTGCAGTGATTCCCCCTCCTTCCCTCTCTGATCCTCCAGCGCTGAGTGGAGGAACGGACGGGGTGGGCACAGCTGGCTCTGCCTCTAAATAGGCAGAGCCCACTGTCACTCACGCAGCTGGGTGGATCTCAACAGCATTATCAGGATCTGTCCTGGCTGCGGCGCTCTCAGTATATCGCGAGCTGTAGCTCACAATATACTGAGCTTTGGGTTACGGGAGGACGCTAGTACATGTCCTCCCGTGACTCTTTTAATGCAAAATAAGACAGCTGTAACTTGAAATAAAGATAGGATTTATCAATATTGTAAACATATTTTCTGTTCCGTGATCTTTGCTGAAGATAGCTGCCCCGTAAATGTATACAAATTCCTGTGTCTCCTGCTGTACTCAGTGGTTCCTGTGTCTCCTGCTGTACACAGTGGTTCCTGTGTCTCCTGCTGTACTCGGTGGTTCCTGTGTCTCCTGCTGTAGTCGGTGGTTCCTGTGTCTCCTGCAGTACTCAGTGGTTCCTGTGTCTCCTGCTGTACTCAGTGGTTCCTGTGTCTCCTGCTGTACTCAGTGGTTCCTGTTTCTCCTGCTGTACTCAGTGGTTCCTGTGTCTCCTGCTGTACTCAGTGGTTCCTTTGTCTCCTGCTGTACTCAGTGGTTCCTGTATCTCCTTTTGCACTCAGTGCTTCCTAAGTCTCCTGCTGCTCTCAGTGTCTCCTGTGTCTCCTGCTGTACTCAGTGGTTCCTGTGTCTCATGTTGTACTCAGTGGCTCCTGTGTATCCTGCTGTACTCAGTGGCTCCTGTGTATCCTGCTGTACTCAATGGTTCCTGTGTCTCCTGCTGCACTAACTCGTTCCTGTGTCTTCTGCTGCATTTGGGCACGTAGGCAGCAGGCCAGGTAGTTATATAATATCTGCTTTACAGATACAGCTTTAAACTGGACCTTTAGTTTGGCAACTGGGTCTCCAAGCAATCAGATTGCAGCACTTGGAAAAATGTTTTCCCATCCATAATGAGAAACAAAATTTGATGATAAAAATATATAAACGATGACTTAGAGCAGGGTTTGTGTGAACTGTAGATGTAACCCTCACTCAATGACATTGCTGGCTAAAGTGCTGCACATTACAAGCAATTGACATTTTTTAACAAAATAATTTTCACCTTTTTAAAAACAATCAAGCTCTTTAAGGAAACAAGGAAAACATTTATACTTTAGTACTGAATTATTAAAATGATAATGTATCCTACATATAACGCTGTCCATCTCTCAGGTGCTGAACAAAGTAACACATGCATTACTGTAGAGACTATTTCAATCTCTTTAGCAGTATATTTGATTTTAAATAGAGAAAGTTCCCTCCAGACTGAGCAGCATGAAAGTGTGAAATTACACTCAGAGACATAATGTGAGATCGCAGGAGGTCAATTACTTATAGATGTGTTTTCTCAACCCTCCGTTTTGACTGATTCCTTTTGCTTGTGTATGGCCTATGGGCATTTTGTACTTCAAAGAAACCCGTCGAGAAAAAAGAACTCTATATACAGCGATATAGATGTACATGTATCAAAATGGAGTTTCTGTGGCAGGACTGCAACACTCACTGGCTTGCTATAAAACCTAAAAATACAATTGACTTTGTACAGCATGCGAACATTGGATTAAACGATCACTGCATTTATTTAGCAGAATCAATAGATGTGATTTAAATACAGCTGGTGTATTTACCTGAATGTGTCTTTATATTAGCTGCTTGTAATGTCCTACACAACAAGGCCCTATTGCAGTGCACAGAGCTGTCAGTATAAACCCTGGAGCTTGCTGGCAGTGGCATAACAGTAGTGAACATGGCTGCTATGGGGCCTGGGGTAGGAGGGGGCCCCATTAGGGAGACTTTGAATACAGATGTCATCAGCACACCAGCACGACAAGACTTTTAAGTCAGTGCTAATCCATTTATTGATAGATGTCACTCAGAATATCAAGTGCTTTTGGGGCCACACAGGGTCCCCTTCATCAGGCTCAGAGTAGACATTGTATGATAGAGAACTACAACCTATACATACACATATGTTATAACAAGAAAATGAGACAAACTAACATCTCTCCCCACCCCCTGACGTCATAATGACGTCATAACCCCGTCAGGGGGTGGGGAGAGATGTTGGTTTGTCTCATTTTCTTGTTATAGCATATATGTGTATATGTAGGTTGTGGTTCTCTATCATGCAATGTCTACTCTGAGCCTGATGAAGGTAAGGAGTGCTACAAGATCTATGGACGTTTCTACCATTAGGGAGACTGTTACAGTCTGTGAAACTTCAAGTATAGAAGGACTGAAGTCAGACTTCAGGATTATAGCTAGTTACAGATTCCCTTCTGTGCAGTAAAAGCATTTGCTCATCTATCTTAGCAGTGTTGATTTATTGTCCTCTCTGCTAAAGACTGAAATTAACACTGTATGTCCAATGCAGTCACAAATCCCAGAGTTTCTCCTCTGCTAAAACCTTAACAAAGGTTTGCAGTTCTACAAAAAAAGTTGAAAAAAGCTAGAGCTTAAAGAAGTTTGTACTATTAAGTAATTGCATGCAAGAGCATTATTAATTATGCTATAATATAAAATATTGGTTAGAATTATTAATATTGCTGCTACCACAACTGTAACCTTTATCCTAAGCGCACTGGTCCGTAAGGTTGTCTGCTTTTGCTAATAGCTTTTCTGCTGCCTTTTCTTGTAACAGGCATACATTTACAGTATGTTAAGAACAATGACACGTGTTGACAATGCCAGTTGCTACAGAGCGAGATAGTCAGGGGGCCCCATCAATATTTTGCTATGGGACCCCATGGTTCATAATTACACCCCTGGGGTAAGCAAAGGTATTTTGTCAAAATTGATTTTGCTGAAACGGAAACTCTCAATTTTGTTCATTGAGTTACTCAGGTCAAATTTGCTTGGAAAAAACCAAAAACTTTTTTTAGAGGGTACATTTTAGTAGGTCGTATTTAGGGTCGTTTTTTTATATTTCATTATTGTTTTTTTTTTCTTTTTTATTATTGGTGTACTGTCACTTTAATTTTTTTTTATTTGAACGTAAATTCATTAGATAAATAGGGGACCATGTATTGGCTGGTCCAGGATAATTGGAGAGAGCTTCTGTACCCCTCAGGAGCCATATAAAGCCCATTTCACCCTTAAAAACTACCTTGATTTCACCTTATGACTCTATTGACTCAAATACATTTAGCCAAACAGGGGAAAGCTCATTGAAATCTCCCAATTTGTAAAAAAAAATTGAAAAATTAATACAGTAAACTCCCCACTATCTGGCATTCAAGCAACCTGCAAACAAAATCGAGGACATAATATGCTCTGCTCAGTGGACAGGGTTTCTATTTCGATAGAACACCGGCTGCAGAAGCGAGCTGGCAGGTGAATAGGGCCGTGGGGCGGGGGGGGGGGAGGGGGCTGTGGGGAAAGCTCATTGAAATCTCCCAATTTCAATTGGGATGGTTGCTTGAGAGTTACCATTAACTCTCAAGGAACCAGAAGCTACAGTTATCCAGTACCTACCGATCTCTGTGGGTGGCAGATGACTGGGAGTTTAAGTACTCTCATATTTTCTCAGCCAATTTTTCACAGAGGTCTTGCTGCAGTGCACCTGTCATTAATTCTTTGTTGATTGCCATTCATGGATCCTGTTAATGTCTTCTCTTATTGTATATGTTCCAGCTTTTAACACAGCAAAATGTGAGAAACTACAAAAAGAGAAGGAGGAGCTGGAAATTAAATTTGACAATGAAGTGAGGAAGCTTGAAAGGTATCAGCAGGAAGAACTCCAGGCATTGAAGGAGCGTCTACAGCTGCAGTGTGATGATGAGATGGAACGACTACGAGCTGAGCAGAGTACCCAGCTACAGAGGATCTTATTCCAACACAAGGGACAAGTCAGTGGATTCTCATGTGTTATCAATTTCCTAAACAACCTGTCACCTGGTTATTGCATGGTGTGGTGGCAGAGGGGTGTTTTCATGTGTTTTTTTCTTTCTAATTATACCAGTTGTAAACTTGACACATGGGACAGTCCAATCATCAGAAACCCAATGTAAAGGTGCCCATACACCTTACGACCATCGCAAGACTTTTGTCTTGCGATGGTCGTATGCTTATTGAAAGCTCGTATGATCTGCCCACCTTGGACGGGCAGATCGTACTTGCGATCATCGAAAGGCCACCCCGCTGAGGGGCGGGCTTCCGATGACGGCAATGCAGAACGGGCAGTGTGCACGTGCGCACACCGGCCCGTTCCGCAGCTATGGGACGAGCAGGCTAGAAACCCGCCGACAATCGTACTATTCTCGACGGGTTTTCGAGCATGTTGGTTCGACAAAAGAGGTGCGACCGTACAGTAGAAACAGTTGCACGTCTTCGTTCACACTGCTCGATTCTCGTACGATCGCAGGATTTCGCCCGATTCTCGTACGAGAATCGAGCAGTGTATGGGCACCTTAACTCTATGGGCAGCTGAGTTTGTTTACATCTGGTTATTTCCAAGTCCGTCTAGGTCCGAAAAAAATGAATAACGGATAAGATTTCCATTTTATTGGACCTGAATGTAACAGATCAGAGGTAATCGGATGTAAATGGACACATGCCCGCTTATATCTGACTGCCCATAGAGCTAACATGGGTTGGTTTAGGTAAGTGGTTTCTTCAATCACAGGATGGAGGAAAAACTGAATGGACAAGGACGTCACAAGAGTGACATCCGTTTCATACTGCTCCAATCAGTAGGGGGATCTGTCCACGGATTCCTTGCTAAAAGGAATGGATGCTGCCTTTGTGAAGGGGGCCTAAAAGAGCTGGCTAGATCAGACCCCTGTGCTTTGCCCCCCACAATTATTTGCTGCTTGGTAGGGGTATTTTAAAGCGAACATATTGTTGTGCCCTGATTTGGCAAAGCACAGGTTGACCTTTTATGACCTGCCATATATATAGGTAGCAATTTGGCACATGTAAAATTGACAGATGCCCTTTTTCACTCTACCATCCAACTTGGAGAGCACTAATACTAAATTTGCATATTCCATTTGCAGATCAGTGCAATAATACTGCAGTAAGGTCCTCTTTAATTCTTCAATCTCAGTTCTCCCAGCAACAAATCTTTGCTTAGCACTAACCATGCCAGTGCACTTGCTGCCCATTGACATGCATAGACCCATCAACTTTATCTACGAGTGTGCAGACATGGCTGGGGCTAAGAACATTTTTGCTACCAGGGGGCCCATGAGATGAAAGACTAAAGACTGAGTACCTGAATTTGACCGGCAATCACCTGTGCAGCAGAGATCAGACTGAAAGAAGGAGAAACAGCACAAGGAGCCAATCAGTTTTGTTGCAGTGCTCATGTGGTAAGAAAGAGAGTGCAGATAGGAGTAGAAAGTAGATTGCCCAAGAGATGAGCTCACCTGGGTGCTGCTTCTCTTTTCACTGTCCATTCACAGGCTGAGAAAGGGGCAAGACCTGTAAGTGTTATTTAACAGCAGTAGAAATAAATCAGGTCTTCTGCCTTTCCAGATAGGACTGTGCTGTGTGTCAGGGCTGTTTAAATCTCAAGTCTGGATGGACTGGGATGGATAGGAATATAAATCCTTAGGTTGATGGCATTAGAGAAGTAAATATCTCTATGTCCCAGTTTTGTATGGCAGGGAGTAAAGGATGTGTGACTCTTGTAATGCAGATCTGTATGCTGGAAGCCTCTGCTCCCTGTCACAGTAAGTCTTGGTGCAATGGTAATTATGCATCGGGTACTACCAGCAGCTGACAGAACCTGGGCATAGTGCAACAAGACAGATGTTCCTCTCTAAAATTCTGCACATTTCCAAAAGACCTTTAATACCAATACAGTACATACCTCGATCCATCACTTCTGTCTCAATCTAGAAGGAATATATTGGAATTGTTCAAGAAACTTTTGGACGATTTCTTAAGGGACCGTAATATACAGGGGTACGGGTACTCCTAGAATGAGATCCTAATAGGTTGGACTTGATGGACTAATGTCTTTATTCAACCTCAAATACTATGAATAGCGTATAGCAGGCAAGTGGCGTGTGCATTACCATGGTTAGATGGATGTGAAGATGCCTGTACCCTGTAATTGGAAACATCTGACAGCTTGACAGTAAGCAGATCTGTTCAATAAGAGTGCAGTAATAATACAGCAACAATTCATCAGTGTTCCCTCCAGAAATGAAGAATCGCATTACATATCTTCACCGAGCGTCAAGTATTCCCTGCATTTCTTCCTCATGCTGACTCAAAGGTCACCACCGCATAACTTGACTGTAATATACAGATATGTAATAACAAATGGATTGAAAGGGAGAAATGTACATAGGGGGTTTATTTTCCTAGCGGTGCCTGCGGGCTCAGATTCTTTATTGCATTCATATCTTCCTGTCGTGTCATCACATATTTTAAACATTGTTAAGCAAGCTTGTGCAAGAGACGGTAGTACTGCCAATCCTTCCCAACTAGGCAGATTTCTGTTTGATGCCATAGATAAACTATGGTTGGTTGCTTTAAGTAATGGCATTTTCCAATTGCATTGTTGACACTTGTGGAGATGTTCATACACAGGAGGTTATAGGAGCTGATTAGAACATCCTAGAATGAAAGGGCAAATCCAGGCAATGAGTGATTCCAGTGTCTTGGTATTAAGCAAGCACCGTAGTTATGCACAAATCATATAGCTTACTTGATTAGCTTTAATATGGGTTCTTTGTGATCTACTGCAGCTAGAATCCATAGAGCAACTTGTATGATCACTGGGAATGTACATCCCAAAGCATGTGCAGAGTAAATTACTGAATTACTAGTCATATTTCAGCTTCCAAAGGTGCTTTGAATCTGATTGGTGGATGAGAAGGGAGGGATGAACTAGTGCAGTACAGCAATGCCTAAATTAAAAATAAAGCCCTGAACAGGTACAGGCAGTCCCCGAGTTACATACATCCGGCTTACATACGACTCCTACTTACAAACGGAGGCTATTGCTGTACAGCAGGGGTAGTTGTAATGCTATCACGCTCGTGTCGGCGAGGAGTGCCTGCCTTTTTGGGTCTGGTTCGTAGTACTGTATGTACATTATGGAAGTTAGACATGCAGACAAGGGGTGCCCGCCTCTTCTTCCGGGTCGCTGTGAGGTTTTTACTGCTTTCTTTATCATCATTAGAAAGATTTAATCTCAGTTCCTGTCCTTGAGACAACAGGAAGTGAAAGGAAATCTACCCCTAGGAAGGGGAATTCACTCCTGTAAGGATTATCATGGGGAAAAGGTGTCTCCACTGAAGATTTATCACCAATCCTTGTTTCCACGACAACCCAACATTTTCAAAATCCAATCTTCACAGGGACAGAAAGTGAGGTGAAATATTCTGAACAGGGGCACACACAGCAAAACAAACTTTACAGGGGGTAAACCCTTCCCTATGCTATCCAAAACAGGAAAAAATGTACCTGTTCCAACTTACATACAAATTCAACTTAAGAACAAACCTACAGTCCCTATCTTGTTCGTAACCCAGGGACTGCCTGTACGCTGTGCCCTATGTATTTATTTAAAAATGTATTTCTGCAACATACCTTTAAATTGTGACGATCACAGCATGTACATGTGTTGCTTGGCCTAGGATGGGTGCTTGGGTACGATCATGCCACCCTCCGGCATTTATGTGAATGCCCCATAAACATGAATGTTTGTATTTATATAAGTAGACAGGGGAAGAGGAGACCAGTGTTGGCCGGGTTGTTAATCAAAGCGGTGAAAGAGCAATCAGGACAGGTTTTCCTGGTCAGCTGTAGGTCACGGGACTCCTAGACATGAGATCCAACTGAAAACTGCCATGTAATGACTATGGGTACCCTAAAATAACAAAATCAGATTCTGATCACAGTCTTTTTCAAATCATCAACATTGAGATCATTGGCAGTTCTACACATGATCTCTGGATTGCAGTCACTTTTTTCATGGCTATATTAGGCCAGGGCTGTGTCAAAGCTGGCATTGATTCTGTACACACTTTAGGCTTCTAGTGACCCTGCTGTGACGAAAGCATTGGAATCCTACTCAGGAACATCATGTAGAGATTGAAGTTATATGTCCCCCTTTTTCTCCTAGTTCAGATTAGTGAATTGATATGAATACCATGACTGAGCACTCTTTTTTTTTTTTCTTGGTATTTTTCATTACAGTTTGATGGACCTCAATTTGTAACTTTCCGTTTTTGTCTCAGTCAATACTTTTTACGAGTGGTCATTTTATGACCTTGGGTACTATTGTACGTACATCAGTTCTACATGCAGTAAGAAGACCTGGACTAGAACCAAACTAGGAGAGAATAGATGTGACCTGGCACAAGATTTTGTTCATCTGTCAATCCAGTTTACTGTATTACTTTATCCAATCACTTCTTAAAGGATAACTTTACTTTCACTCTACATTCACATATAGTACAGTTATTCTTCATGTCTCACTATCCAGCCTGCATACTAATTCACAGACATAAAATCTGCTCACAGGACTCAGGTGGCACCATCTATTCTCTGGGTACCAATGCAACTGCATTGCTTGCCCACCTTCTCACAGATCCATTAAAAAGAAGCTGTATATCTTTACATTTAACACATTGGAGCAGGTAAATCCTTATTATCTGGATTAATAAATATTGCAGAATCATCGGACAATATGATGTGTGGCCATGCTTCTTTTTAATGGACCATCCCAGATGTATACTTGCCTAAATATCACAGTCAAGGACTGCCTTTGTCTTAACAAAGTCCAGAAGTCGGCCCCATTGAAATCTATGGGGAACACCTGTCAGGGTGCCTCAATGGCAAGAATAATTTTGTTTGTGGGATGTCATGATCCTAATATGTAATACTGTTTAGTAGGAAAATTTGACCTGTTTCCTATCAAATGCACTAATTGGAAGTGAGTTTTACTGTCAAATATGTCTGTGCCATCAGGGAAGGAAAAATCCATTGACAAAAAAAACCTGGTCATTCAGTATATTCAGGTAGGCAGCTGACCTAATTCTTTGGGGACATACCTTTGCTGAACCTAAACCTGACCAACTAAAGCAACCCCTATAGCTCTTTGCTATTTGCTTAGCTAAATCCAAGTGGTGCTTTTTTTTGGCCAGGCAGTGCATACATAGCCAAAACCTTTTTTTTTTAAGTGTTTAGAAATTACTCCAGAGTGGGATAATCTAGTTGTCACCAGAACAGAACCAGAACTTTTCACTTATAAATGATCAGTACCCTCTGTGGCTTTTAGTTGTCATGTTGCTGAATTCAAATGTTCAGTGTTAAATGTTGGGAGATTTTCCACTCTTTACATGATTCTCTTTTCGTTTGGTTAGAGGTGAGGTGTCTCCTCTTTTCACGGCCTACTTCTAATCTGATTTCTTCTGCCAATAACCATTTATACCTTTCAAGCTACCCCTCGCATTATTCTCACTGGTCACATATGAGAATGTGAACCCTGTACTGCCAGGAAAATGATATTATTTATGATTGATTTCACAAGCCATATGATGATACGATTAGCTCTGACTTCCATTACACATCGTGTACTGTACACAATACAATAAAGACATTTACTGTGGTGGTGTTTGCCAGTTTGCATGATACATATGTGATTGTGTTTGTCTTGAGTAACATATACGGTCATTATGTTCCTTAAAGCCTAATTCAAGGCAAAACTATTTCTAGTTCGGATTAGTGTGGGGTGAGGTTAACATTTCTGACAGGTTATTTTTTTTTAATGTATGACCCTCATTGAGGAGATTTTCCCTAATTTCCTATCCCAGTGACACCAGTTCAGGAAATGTCTGGTGCAGTTGTCACTGTGAAACGAGGACTCAGACAGTAAAAAAAAAAACATGATCTGTGGTTCTATCACTTGGCGTGTGAATCAGCCTTTTATGGCTGATTCACACCATAGCTTTGCATTAATCACACAATATCATGTGACTATTGCACACTATCGCACAGTGCACCTAGTGGGCATTACGGTACACTAGCTGCTTTAAGTTTACATTCATATGGATGGCACCTCAACGCACCTCCTGTCTGCCGTGTGTTGTGATGCAATAATTACCACAATTCCACCACCAGTACCACAATTCTGCCGTTGTGACGCAATAAATAAAAATAGTGGGCTGCAAGGCTCAGCAGTCGGAAGGTGCATTGGGGTGCCATTTAAATAAATGGCAACATAACGCACCTAGCACACGACAACACTGTGTGATCGTGTGCATTAATCAGATGGTATTGCACAATTAACACAATGCTATAGTGTGAATCATCCCTCAGGAAAACAAAGGCATAAGCAGACACCTTGTAGTGTCATTCACTAGCTGTAGCCACCCGCTAGCTGTTAACAATGCCTAGGTTGTCCAGCAATCGGTATTGTAAAGTAAACTGATGGCTATTACCAGAGACAACAGTAACTCATGGTGTTGCTCAACCCCCCTCATGCTATCTACATCTTTGACAGCACCAGGGCACAGAGGAAGCATATTCAAGCACTTTCTAGTCAGGCTTTGCAATCACAGGATGTCGATAGTGTAAAGAGGGCTATGTGACACCATGAAATGCTTGGTATTCCTGGTAATAGCGGACAGTTTTCCAATGCTGATTGCTGGACAGTGCAGACAGAAGTCAAACATGGTTGTATGCATATGTATGCAAGGTACATGTGTTTTGTGGCTGTTCAATGTTATTATTCAATGTAATTATGGGGTTTCTGTTAAAGACACGGGGTAGAAGATTTAAATGTTCATTCTCTCTGTAGTATATTTTTATTTTCAGGTTTTATGTAATTAAACAGTTCATAAAACATTAGTCTAAAAATTATAAACCTTTAAAAGATTAAATAAAATTGTCTCAAAGTCATTATCACGTTATATACTGTATAAGAGATGTCTTCATATACTTAGTTCTCTAGCAGCAATGTGAACCTATGGGGGCCCATATATAAAGCAGTGAATGACATTCCCTAAACATTCACTGCAGATTCGTTTTTTGTGTTAAATAGCAGTGATTGATTCAGCCCCAGTGAAAGTTTGAAAGTCACATTCACTGCTTTAAAAAAATAAATGTAACATGAATAATGCTACATTGTATCAATGGCATTGCCTTTTTATTAATATTTATACACAGATTGAAGACATGTCTGCAATCCATGAAGCTTCTCTGCTGGAGATAAAATATTGCCATTCAGCCTCTGTGAGCGGAATCCATGAAGATCATGAGAAGAGTGTTCATGGTAAAGCATTTGTTTTCATTTTTCAGTTAATATGGTAACATGCTAAAATTGAACTGAGAGTCATTTTGGTGCCCTATAAGATGGTTTATCACATATCTAAAAAAGTCTGTAAGAAACTCTTTAGAAGACATAGATGTTAGAGGGCCCCACTGAAGAAAAGGTCTCTGGAACATTCTTCCTAGCTCACTAGACCATTGTGTGCATACAATGCCATTATGCCATTGCTCTCCTGGAACAGTTCACCACCTTTGCCTCCAGGAATCTGACTTTCCCATATGGCGTAGCTGTGATGTCTCCAGGTGCTCTACTTTCAGCTCCAACAAACCTGCTAATGTGCCTATTGGAGTCTTAATCTTCCTGACTGGAGCATGTTTTCTCTACAGTATCCTCCAACACTGCTGAAAGCCCTAGGATCCTCTGTGATCTGTCAGTCCCTGCCACATGCCACATGTACTGTTGCTGACCTCAACAGCTTCAGACCCATCTCTTCAAGTGACACTAGATCTGTTTCTGTGCCAGTTTACGCCACAGTTTTTACTCTACACTGCACCTGCATTTTTATGAGTCTTAAATGATAGCCACAGTGTAAAGTATGGGTGTCCCAGTCTGGGGTGTGCATAATGCAGATTAGTGAAGTAGACAGTCACATGACTTTTGACAGGTCATGTGACCTGGCTATCCTACTTCCAGTGTTTATTTTCTTTCTTATTCATTTAGTCTCAAAGCGAAGCAAGACAACCTAGTAAGGCTAGGTTCTTGTCTATATTGCAGTGCCTATTGCATTGCTAGGCTTTGCCTTTTCTTGCAAAGTCTTGATGGGCACTTTGGTTCTTCAAAGTGGTACAGGGAAAAGGGATAGGCACTCCAACATACCCCCATCCTTTAAAGTGCGGTGTTGGAAGCAAATGTTTTTCTGGGGAGATTTCCTTTAACTTCATGTGCCATAGCCACTCTAAAGTGAGAAAAATGGTCACCCGGACCAATACTAAATTTTCCTAATAGAGACATAGACAATAAAACCTGACAGGTGTTCTAATCCCTCTCCATTCATCAAATCTAAAAAAAAGTTTTGACTTTAAATTTACTTTAACACTAATCTTGAATTCTTATCTTATCCTTTAATCCATAATACTAATGGAAGCCTTAAAAGTGCAGACATACTTTATGGACATGAAAGTTGTCTTGTGTTAGCCTCTCATCCGGGTCAGCAGGGAACACGGACCCACCCCTGCACATGATGTTTGAATATGGGTCACCGTGGACACAGCATTTCAGCATTTTAATAGCATTAGCTGCAACATCACATGTTAAATAGTTACATACTTATTCAGGTTGAAGAAAGACACAAGCCCATTCAGCTCAACTATGTATGTGTTACCACAGGGAAAAAACTCCCTCTATAGGGAGTGTGTATATGCAGTGCATCTGTAAAAAATAAGTCAAGGCAACAGGACTTGCTGTATTTTTCTTGAGGACATTTCACTGGTCATGCAGTGACATCGCTATACTTGTATCCATGTCTATAGATGCCAACCTATGTTTACTGCTCTCTGTAACCTTCAAGCTACTGTAGGAAAATTTAAATCTTAAGACCGTGATTTTATAAATTAGACTTCTTATTATAATGACAAGATAATTGCCGCAATATATTAAGAATGTAAATGTGTGCTTGTGACTGTAGAATGTATATAATGTACAGCAGTGAGACAGATGAAGCTGCAGTGATGGATGAGCTGCTTGTCTTGTTCTGATGGTCTCACTGGGCCTTATTTTAATGTCTCCTCGGGGATTTCCCCCAGAATAGATCTGGCTGTCTCATTGTTGTTTCTGAAATTCCAATTTTTTACCATGTAACATTTATAGCTGCAGTAGATATAGTGCTGCTCTTTGTGAGTGTATTGCAGTATGGTGGAAAATGTTGACACAAATGATGGTATAGCAATAATAATAATTATTATTATACAGGTTTTATATAGTGCCAACATTTTGCGCAGCACTTTACAAAATAAAGTGAGACAGTCCAGTTACAATATAATTCGATACAAGAGTGTTAGGAGGGCACAGCTCTTGAGAACTTACAATCTAAACGGGAGGCATAAGTGGTACAAAAGGGAATAAATGTGAGGGATGAGCTGATGGAGAAAGTAAAAGTACAGTTTTAGGTGAAGACGAGCTAGACTTCCCTAAAGAGATGGTTTTTCAGGGATTGCCTAAAGAGCCGAGAGGATAGTTGGGTGGTAATTTGACACAAGGTTGATTATGTAGCATGGGGCAGAATTGTGGATGGCTTTGTATGCTGTTAGTATTTTGAATTTTATTTAATGGGTGATGCCAGTGGAGGCATTGCAAAGGAGGGTAGCAGCCACTCAATGGTTGGTATGGTGAATAGGTTGGGCAGCAGCATTCAGGATAGACTGAAGAGGGGAAAGCCTGTGTAAAGGTAGGACAAGAAGGAAGGAGTTGCAATAGTTGAGGCGAAAGATAAAAAGATGTATATTAGTAGGTTTGTGGTGTCATTTGTTTAGAAGGTGCTAATTCAGCGAGGGATTTTTAGTATGGGGTGACAAGTGCATGTTTTTGAGGGGTGGAGAAGATGGCAGTAGAGAGGGAAACTTTGAAGATGTGGGTTAGTGAGCATAGAATAGAGCAAGAGGGTGAATGGAGTAGTTGTGATGGAATTGGGTTCAAGCGGCAGGTGATTAGTTGAGCTTCAGAAAAAAGTTCAGCAATCTCTGAGTTAACAGGTTCAAGTTAAGAAGGTATTGAATGTGGTGTAGGTGGGTTAGATGTCTGGACATCTATGTGGTGATCTCATCATGAATTGCAATCACATGGGCAGTAAATGAATTAATGGGAGGAGGCAGTGGGGGGTAAAGTAGCGAGTTAAAGGTAGAAAAGAGTTGATGATGACTGGATAAGAGGGTGTTAATGAGAGTAATAGGTCTGTTTGGTAGCATTGAAGCAGGAGGGCAGACTTTTAAGGGTTTACTGTAATAGGAATCCATCTAGGCAATGGGAGGTAGACAATGACCTAAATCCATACCACCACAACCACCACGTAATATTAAAGTTGCACTGAAAAGGGACATTTATGGAACAGAAATTTGAATCTTGACCAGGGTAGATGGGCTTTGTACTTACCACACATTATAACTGAATGATTGTAAACTTAACCAACAGTACTGGACTGAAACCAAAAAGTAGCCTTGCTATCCAGGTGTTATAAATTCCTAGGGAGTTAATAATATGACTGTTGCTTAAAGTATAATTAAACCTTCATTGTTTTTTTTTGTTTTTTTGCATATATCTACTACAAAGAAAGCAGTAGATATATGCAAAAAAAATTTTTTTTAAAGTTACCAAATAGGTAATTACTTACCTGTGTCTCCGCCGATCGCTCCTGTCTGAAGATCTGAAGACTCTTGAGCAGCCGTGAAGTATCATGGGGCGGGCGCATGAGCAGTAGAGATCTTCAGCTGGGAGAATAGAAGAGACACAGTGTAAGTCAATGCACGCAGCCGGCAGCGTGCAAGCGGACATAAACGTGGGACACAAGACACAGCAGTCAGCTCTGGCTCAGAGACCGGCACCAACGCTGGATAGACTCCGGAAAACTACAGGAAAGAAGTGGGGGGGGGGGGGGGTTGTGACTTTAATGTCACTTTAAACCCAGCAACAGGTACACTTAACTTGGATAGAGTTCCATAGTAGCTGTTACATAGCACAACTGTAGGTCAAACCTTGGAATGGTAGACCAGAGGCTGGAGCATTTTGTAAGACAATGTGTAGCCCCCCACAACAGCTGCCTGTGCATGTATAAGGGCCTGTTTCCACGGGCTTTGATGGGGAAATGCAGCATGCATTGACATCAGCTTTCTGAGATATTTTAGAATTAACTACAGGTGCAGTTGACCTGCATGTGACCTGTTTTAGATGCTTTTGTATTCAATAGACTTGTATGTAAAGGTCGAGATCTGAAAGTGTTGTTGATGTTTAAACTGCAATGTATCACATTTTTGTTCTTGGGTTTTGATAGTCTATCAGCTTAATAACATTTTTAGTCAACATTGCCCTCTAGTGGAAAGCATAGATACTGTATGTCTATAAAAGGGTCAGTCCACTTCAGTAATAAACTTTCATCAGTATTCTACCATTAAAATTGAGCAATATTTTGTTTACAATATTTTTTCTTAAAACAGGTATATTATATAAGTCCTAATACAGAATCAAATCCCATCACATCATAGTAGAAAACTGTCTTGTTACGGTGTGTTGCCTGTTCTTTTTATACAGAGTTGAAAGAAAATCATGAGCTGGAGAAGAAAATGCTAGAAGATGGTTTTGAAATATTGCGACTATCATTACAGGTGAGTGTGTGTAATACAAAGAATCACAAAGGCTTTACGTTATAGGAGTTCTACGTGCACCAGCTGGTGCACCAGTTTATAAAAAAATAGCCCAGGTAGACTTTAACACATACACCTTCTGTACGTAGTTTATATGTGTAAAGCTAACTGACAGCATAAGATATTTTTAGTTATAATGCTTACAATGCTATGAATATTGAATCTCACTATTGCATATTAAGACCCTTCACCATAACAGAGGAAGTTCCTGTGTGAGCCTATGTGCCAGCACCTTCAAAACCTAGCACTCCCCTGCATCACGTGCTGTATGCTGTAATCACTTGTACCCACTGTCGTAGCAAAAATGTCATGTTATGTTAAAATCAATAAAAATATTTGATTCAAAACCTAGCAGTCTATCAAGACCATTTTAACTTTTTTTTTTTAATGCATATGGCTGTAAATTACATTGTAGCAGTTATATGCCTAAGGAAGGCATCAATAATCAGAATGGAAATAAGAAGCTGGGTACCCTGGTGTACCCTTGTACATCTTTACACTTATGCACTAAAGAAAGAATAGCTCTTCGTTGAACAGTGCAGACATTGGCACTATCAACTTTTGAATATATTGATATTAAGTTAAAATCGAAAATTATTTGCATATAGTTGCCCTTTGGAATTGAATGTGGATAAGTGTCTGTTGGGTATTGGATGGTGTGTTGGAATCAGAGTGTGAAATTGTAGAAATGTCACCAGCACACCAATCCTTTTAAGATAGCAAAAGCTTCATTTATTGAAGTTTTTTGTCATATGACCAAACAAGCGCTTTCGGGACCGCACAGGGTCCCTTCATCAGGCTTTAGCATTGACAATTGTACAGTGATGAAGGGGACCTGTGTGGTCCCGAAAGCGCTTGTTTGGTCATATGACAAAAAACTTCAATAAATGAAGCTTTTGCTATCTTAAAAGGATTGGTGTGCTGGTGACATTTCTACAATCTTGCTGACATTCGCGGCGCCATCCGCAGCCACTGCAAGCACCCCCACTACAAGGGACATATCGGTAAGGATTGTGACAAGGATAGTACTTATTGGAATCAGAGTGTGCACACTTAAAAAAAAGACCCCATTATTATAGTAATAGTGAGAAGCCCCCATTCCCATAGACTGCCTAACACGATGAATTCTGGTCTGGTATTGGCAGCTTGCATTGGACATATCTGCATATATTTGTGCATATTGTTTTGGACTGTAATGGTACTGTTAATGTTCTCATAAAGTCCTGTTTTCCTCACAGGATCAGGTTGATACTTTGACGTTCCAGAATCATTCATTAAGAGACCGGGCAAAGATGTTTGAGGAAGCATTAATGAAGAGCACTAAGGAACAGCTAGAGGTAATTTCTTTTATCATCTTTATCAACAATTACATTTTTTACTCGCCTCTTTCCAGCCCCGTCTTTATATGATATTGTTTGCTGTACAATAGTCACATGACCTGAAACAGACATGATAGAACATGTGCACTCCTAGCAATGGTTCAATACACCCAAAGATATTAGAAAAATAATTGCATTTTTGTTATAGGTGTGCCACCAGTTAGCCATCACATGTTCAGACACTATAGCATACACACCATTGCAAGCCACACTTATTAGTAAATTCACTGCATGTACTGTGTACACATGTCTTCACGTGCATCGTCAGAACATTGTACATACTGTGAGGGTATGATTTGCGTGTCCAAGGCACTATTTGTAGATCAAAGGGGACTCTTCCTCTGCACATAAAAGTGCCATTACTAAAATACATTGTAGTAAAAATACTGCTACAAGCTATTTTTACACAGAGTGTAAATAGAGAGCAAGACCTATAAGGTTTAGTAACCACAGACGGGGGAAGCCTGCGGTGTAAGAGGTATGCCCAAGCTAAGGAGCTTAGGTGAAGTCTTTTTTTGGCTGTACCTTGTACACGGGTCCACAGCTATTTAATGAACATCTGTGCAAAAAAGTCCTGGCAGCTCACAATCACATTCGTCATGTAAATTTATAGGACAGATTGTAGGTTGTTCTTTTTAAAACATACGATTACCAGGGGTTTGAAAGACGAGTTCATGTAAGCCTAACATTCAACCTCCATTACCTTCTAGTCTTTGGTGGTTCTCCATGTACCTATGGGTCTAAAGCAAATACTGTATTGCCTCTTTATTATACAGGAATCAGTAGTGACAAATTTGTATGCCAGGGAAATGTGCCCAGGTAGGACCTATAGAGTCTCTGAGAGGCATAACACAGAACCTTGGTGATTGGGTTCTCTGGGATTTGACAAAAGCAAACTTGACTGGTCTAGCTTTTAGACACAAAAAAAAAGACTTTTCCAAAGCCTTAAAATATCTACAAAGCGTTGTCCTACATTTCACTTGTCTTCTGATCATGACAGGACTTAGAGAACTGCTGTTAGTCAAAGTGAATGATCAGTACAGAGATCTCCTGTTACTGTATTGTTACTGTGCTCCCTGGAACAAATATATAACATCATTTCTCAGAATCCGGCTTTATGCAGAACAGGCTTGTCAGAAGTGCCAAGGACATTCTTATTGTTTCATTTTGTTACAATAATGTTATGCCATAAGTTATTCAGAAGTCTCTTTGTTATCTCTCTGGAACTCATTGAGATGGATAGATTAGCCCTTAAAATATCTGCTTGCCTGCATAGTTCACTTTTTCTTATTTAGCCTCAAATTAGCAATCCCCAACCCCTGCCATGTATCAGGTCAGACACTTTGTAGTTGTGATCTTCATCTGTATTCATGTGCAATGGATGTTTCAAGCATTTGCCGGAGCTTCCTAGGTAAAGTATATATAGTAAAGCGCTGTGCAAACTGTTGGCGCTATATAAATTCGGTATAATAATAATATATCTAACTGGAGAGAAGCCCCCTGACAAAGGACACAAATGGACTTGGAGCAACTACAGGCAAAGCCGGGGCTTTGAGGAAGGGTGTTGTAAAAATTAATATCAAATCTAACTGGAAATTGCCAAATGAAAAATGGTAGACACAGTAAGCATGGTCTTTGGTCTGATGAGTCCAAAGTTGAAAAACCTAACTCCAGCCAATAATTTTTGTAAAACATTTTTTTAGATAGAATGAGAAATTAACACTTCCTGTGTTTTTTATTCCTGTGACTCCATTTCAGGGATTTTTTTCCTCACTTCCTGTCTCTGTGACACCCAAACAAGAAATAGGGGTCACTAGGACAGGAAGGAGGGACCAGCTGATTCTGGTCCCATTACTGAAGATGTGTTCTCATTATTGTCTGATTTCTGATTGGTTGTCATATCTTTCTTTGCTGACTTATTGAGTAAGCCTGTATAGTTGAATATTTTGAATTTCCAAATAACTCCCTTCTACTAAGAAAGTTGCATATTACATCTTCCCTGCAGTAAACAAGAAATTAATTATAACCATAACCCAGGGCTTGACAAATTTCAGTAGCCAGGTTACCAAAGCTCTTAAAAAATATAGCTGGTGTCTACGCCTTGAGGTTTTCTCTAGTTGTGGTCTGTGGAGGTGACTCCTAAGAAAAATCTTACTGGTTGCTGGACTGGACAGACTGGCTCCTGAATTCCATATTCATTCGTCCACCCCTGGCTTAACTGTTATAAAAGATTCCAAAGCTTCACGGGACAGATATTTAAAAAAGAACTTCAGGAATTTTAAAACCATCCTTAAGATGGGGCTACCACTGCGCTTCAAGGGTTAAGTGCTCGTTTTGTCTAGAGGTGTAAAATAAAGCAGATATACTCATCTGATCCTCAGTCCTGCTATGCTGCTAGAGTGGTCCCCACAGCCCCCTGCAGCCTCTTCTCTCAAGGGCTTGCTGATATTATCACGACTAATGCAGATCTATTGACTTACATTAGACCTAAAGATAAAAAGGGACATTCCACAGACCAAGCTGTCCAGCAAAAATGGTAGCTAGAAGGTTGAGACAAAGCATTTAACACTTACAGGGGTGCTTGCAATGGTCAGCTGGTATTCACATATCTAAAACCTTTATGCCAAAAGGAAAAAAACAGTTGCTATAACCGCTTAAAAAGCATTAACTGGAGTTTGTTTTTAATTTGTTAGTCAAATCCATGTAAATCTGCTAGAGCAGGCCTCAAAATTTCCACTCGCCCCCTCGCAATTGGCGAGTGAAATTTGCAGGGGTGGCGAGTGTGTCATCGGGCGGGTGCGCCGCCGGAAGGACCAGGCATGGGACACTACCGCTGCGGCGATTGCTTGCTCCTGTTCTCTCTTCTCCTCCTCTATAGCTGCAGCTACAGAGCGGCCGAGGAGGAGAAGAGAGAACAGAAGCGAGCAATCGCCACAGCGGTAGTGTCCCATGCCTGGTACTGCCGGCGGCGCACCCCCTCGATGGCATTCATTTCGGCTGTCTTCCCTTCGGCTGTCTTCTGCAGCTTCCTCCGCCCACCTCAGCTGCCATAGGCTGCAGAGACAGTGAGACACACGGCCAGAAAGTTATGCATCAGGAAAATAAACTTTTATCTGGGTACATGGAGGATCTCTGTACCGCCCCGCACCCCCCACCCCACCCACGACCACCACCAGGAGAAAGAAGAGGGCACCTGAATACCATCAGCTAAGTGCACTGTCCCTTTTGTTTCTTCCTTACACTGCTGACCTCTGCACTGTGCGTCACACTGACCTCTGTACTGTGCGTCACTGACCTCTGCAGTGTGCGTCACACTGACCTCTGCACTGTGCGTCACACTGACCTCTGCACTTTGTGTTACATTACTGACCTCTGTACTGTGAGTCATGCTGCTGACCTCTGTACTCTGCATTACATTACTGACCTCTGTACTGCTGATCTCTGTACTGTGAACACACCGCGGGCCTCTGCACTCTGCATTGTTACTGATTTCTGTACTGTGCATCACACAGCTGGCCTCTGTATTCGGCATTGCGCCACTGACTTCTGTACTGTGCATTGTTACTGATCTCTGTACTCTGCGTCACACCGCTGACCTTGCGGAGTTAAGGCCGGGGCAAGGTAGGGGTTAGGTGGGGCAACTTGTGGCAAGTAACTTTTAAGGCCTGGCTAGTAGCTCAGGACTTGAAATTTTGAGCCCGATGCTAGAGCATCTAACGATACCCTCTTTACAGGGTGTCAATGCTGCTGTCCAAGGGTGGCTCCATTGCTCCTCCATAAAGTGGAGCCACCCTAAGACAGGAAGTGTGTTTCCAGCTGAATCACCAGGTAAAAATAAAGGGAAAAAAGCCTTAAAAAGAAAACTAATGCAGCCAGCACATTTAAGGACTGGTAAGCTGCAAAATATTACATTGTGGTTTCTGGATTTAGATATGCTTGAACCCTTGTAGTGCAAGGGATAACCCCTCTGCAAGGGTAAGTTTTTAAAATTACTGGAGTTTAAAATCTCAGGAGTATCCTGAAAAACTAGGCACAGTTAGTAAGTATAAAAAGTTCACCTTCTCCGGGTATTTGCTTTCTTCCTATAGAAGAATGCTGAATCATTCCAGTAGGCCTGTCTTTAGTCAAGCTGAATGTGACTTTTGATAGACTGGAAACGAGATGGTGTTATTTTTAGCAGAGCAAACAAGGTATCTGGAATTTTATATCTGGTGCAGACAATTCCTAAGGACAAAGCGCTTTTAATGGTTTTAATATTCCGGACACAGGATCCTAATGCGGAGATGTTTGTGATTCACAGCCAGGCTGCATTACGTTGAATTGTCTCACAGGTCGGTTCTGCAGAATGATTTCCCAAAACAAAAACAGACAAAATCATTATCGCGCAGTCTCCTGAGATATTACCTTACGGCTGCGTTATGACTTGCTTGCCCTGTTCCTAATAAGACAAACAAAGGGTTTTTTTTACATTTCTTTCATAATTTATAAGTTATGCTGAAGAATTGAAGAAGATCGTCTAGACAAAATGTTTCCTATACTTTCTAATAGCAGCGCTGTTTATGTATTGTACTACAAGCAAGGTCTGCTTACTCATTCACTCCTCCCCTTCCCCTATGCCAAAATGCTGCAGTTTTATAAAATGAAAAGCCTGTAGGTTAAAAACATTATATATAAATATACTTACCTTATCCCGGGCGAGGTACCAGGGAATGTCAAGTACCCCAAATCTCATGCAAAGACTCTCCAACACAGTGCAAGGGTATTTTCTCACTAGATTTGGATGTCACCCTCGTCTACAGTAGGCACACGGGTGGAAGCTGCAGCAAGGTAAGTATATTCAGTAACTTTTTTAACCCACAGGCTTTTATTTTATTTTATTGTTTGCCGTTGGGGAGGGGGCGTGAATAAATAAGTAGTCCTTTAATTTTTAATGCAAGGTCCTCTTTAACAACATTGTGTCAGTTCTGAAACTGATGAGCCAGGGGGAGTCATGCCATATCTGTGTCCATCTCCGCTATGACATGCTAGAGAGGAGCCACCAATGCAGCTCCAAATTTCACTGTATCTGCATGTTTTATGACTGATAGAGGTATTGGCTGGATTTCTAAAACTGCTCTGGGTTTGTTATGTGTCCAGGTTGAGCATTAGGTGGAGTTTCCTCCTTATATCATTTGCAATGTTTGTGTTGCAGATTGCTCTTGCTCCATATAAACACTTAGATGAAGACCTTGCCAGTGTGAAACAAGTATTAGAAATGAAGAATCAGTTAATCCATCAGCAGGAAAAGAGGATCATGGAGCTGGAAAAACTGGTGAGTGAGAACATTTAATATTGCCTATTCTTCCCTTTCCTGTTCCTTTCACTTCATAGAAAAGGTTGCAATTATGGCTTTTATGGTACAACTAAAACAAACACTTCATATTGAATTCATAAAAAAAAAACTGTATTTATTGAAAAAAGATTATTAAAAGAAACAATTGATAAAATCAATAGGTTTCCCATTGACTACATTTTTATCCTGATTTTTACAACATACAATTACTGTAGATGTAAACCTACAATTGTACATTTCATATCTCTTTTGATTTTACTGTTACATCAATATAATCCACTTTCCGTGTGGATGCATTTCACTTTTACCGCAGGTAAGTTTCTGGGCATGTGGAGCAGACACTACTAGGTCATCAACTTTGTGAGAGCAACCCAAATCACTAGCGGGGGGCCTCTGGGCTGGGCGGGGGGTGTTCAACACAGAGCCTTTACTTAGTTGCCAGATAATAGATCCTTTCTTATAACAGGGGGTAGAGTTTAGACCTTATCTATGGCCTTATCAGCCATTGCTGGATAAATGGTGTTTTAATGCTGGATCCTTGATATATGCTGTGTAGCAGTGGTCTGATCTCAGGTCTCTACCTCAGGTTGACCAACGGACCTTCCCCTCCTTTTTATAGGTGGCCTACACCCCTGTTTACCTCCTCCACCCTTCAGGATAACTGGCGGAGGACCCCACTAGTGATATGGGTTGCTCCCCCGAAGTTGATGACCTAGTAGTGTCTGCTCCACATGCCAGGAAACTTACCTGCGGTTCCTGAACAAGAGTAAAAGCGCAATGCGTCAAACCGAAAGTGGGTTATTTTGATGCAACATCTTGTAAAATCAAAGAGTTATGACATTTATGATTGTATGTTGACATCTAATTGTTGTAATTGATTGTATGTTGTAAAAATCAGGATTAAAAAAAATTAGTCAATATGTATGCATGTGAGATAGGGACATTAGACCATAAGCTCCTTCAGGCCAGGAACTTATGTGAATGTACAATATATGTAAAGTTCTGCATAAATTGTTAGAACTATATACACTCAATGGTCACTTTATTAGGTACACCTTGCTAGTACCAGGTTGGACCCCCTTTTGGGATGGGCATGGTCAGCTACAATACTCGGTAGGCTGTGGCATTTAAAAGATGACCAACAGGTACTAAGAGGCTGAAAGTGTGCAAATAACGCCCACACCATTACACCACTACCACCTCCTGCCTGAACTGTTTATGCAAGACAAGATGGATCCATGCTTTCATGCTGTTTACAACAAATTCTGACCCAATCATTTGAATCTAGCAGCAGAAATTGAGACTCATCAGACAAAGGCAACATTTTTCCAATCTTCTATTGTACAATTTTGGTGAGCTCTTGCAAATTGTAGCCCCAGTTTCCTGTTTTTAGCTGATAGCAGTGGCACCCGGTGTGGTCTTCTGCTGCTGTAGCCCATCTGCTTCAAGGTTTGATGTGTTGTGCATTCAGAGATACTATTCTGCATGCCTCAGATGTAACAAGTGGTTATTTGAATTACTATTGCCTTTCTATCAACTTGAACCAGTCTGGCCATTCTTCTCTGACCTCTTGCATCAACAAGGCATTTTTGCTTAGAGAACTGACGCTCACAGGATATTTTCTCTTATTCAGATCATTCCCAGAAAATTCCAGTAGATCAGCAGTTTCTAAAATACTCAGACCAGCCCGTATAGCACCAGCAATCATGCCACTTTCAAAGTCCCTTTTCTTCCCCAGTCTGATGTTCAGTTTGAACTTCAACAGATCTTCTTGACCATGTCTACATGCCTAAATGCATTGCGTTGCTGCTATGTGATTGGCTGATTAGATTATTGCGTTACTGAGTAGTCGAACAGGAGTACCTAATAAAGTGTCCAGTGAGTGCACATACCTGCAATAAATATATATTAATACATAAATAATACAGTTGAATGGACGAGTGTCTACTGTGACATACTACATATATGGCTGGATTCCAGACACCATTTGCCTCCAGCAAACAATTAGGTTCATTACATATACTCTATATACTTATTTAAAGCCAAACTCTAGGAAAAGATGATAATTTACACACTGCACTGGGTGTGTAAATTATTAAAAAGCTGTGTGTTATATGCGGAGGACCACAGCAAAGTTTAAAATATGCACCTTGCAGCATGCCGTCTCCTAAACATAACTCTCAAGCTTCAGCACTTAACACCCAGCTTTTTAATGACCCAGTACACCCAGTACAGTGTGTAAACTATCATTTTCCTGGAGTGTGGCTTTAAAGTACACTATAATTACCACTTGGTTTGTGCTATGAAAACATTTGTTTTTAGTTTTATTTAATCTGAAAAAATGTGTTTCCTTTTAAGGCTGAAATAAATGTTATCTTGGAGGAAAGGATCCAGGTTCTCCAACAGCAGAATGAAGATATGAGGGTCAGGATACACCAGAACGTTGCAGTCACCAGGTCAGTGGAAGATGTTGAAACTAACGTCTCAGGATAATTGAGACGTACACAAATCATTTCATCAATAGATGCATGCAAAATCAAGTTACAGTGTATTTTAGGGGGCATTTTTGAGGCTTGACCTCAAGAATAAAGTGCAACTAAGAAGCACCATAACCCAAAAATGTTTATAGGTTAACATCTGTGTAGAGAGTGCTGAAATGTATATTTATTAAAGCATGTGAAGCCATCAGAAAATCATGGCTGAATTTGGTCATATACTGCTTAAATGTCGGCCAATTCCTGATACAGAGAGAAAGCTGCTCTACCTCCTTCAAACCAGATTCACAACTGGTACCTCGGTGCCAAGAAAGAGTCTCTGCTGGACCCCAATGACTGCATACATGTAGAAACCAGCACCCGATACAGCGATCATCCCAGTATATGCTTTATTTCAAAGTGGCATAAAACAAAGCATGTTGGCGTGTTTCAGCCCTTGCCGCAGGTCTTAGTCATAGCATTAAAAACATACAAATTCCAAATCCTAAATACACATCCATAAACACAGATTCTACAAGGTTAATTAGTATCTGCTACATAGGTGAACCCTTTGTACATAAAAGGACTCTAGGAGGGATACTAGCTTCAATACATGGTCCAGGCTAATATATTACAGTACAGATAAGAAACAATCATTAATATCCATCCTGCTACAAACTAAGCACATGAAAACTACAAAAGTCTACATCTTCTATAGCAAAAAGAAATCCTAAAATTGTGGAATACTAATAGTAATTCAGACCGAGGGGGATCCTCAATCGCAGTCTGAAAATCCACCAAGTCTCACCTTCTAACAGTCTGTGATACAAGATACCCTCACTGTTCTGCACCTAAATGCTTAGATGCATTAGATTAGATGGACAGAGAGCTCTAACATTCATACTATTACAGCAGTGTTCTCCTATGCTGACTAGAGGTGCACGGAAATTAATTTTTGAAACTGAAACTTTAAAAAAAAAACATCAGGTGGGATGAAACCGAAAATAAAAAAAACGTCTAACCTTTTACATTTTTACAAATATTTTATTTGTATTTATTTATTTTTATTAAATATATATATATTTTTTTTTACTGTTGAGGGCTTCGGTGAAATATCAGGAGTCTAAATAGACCCCTGATATTTCCATTTAATAGAAAAAGAGATTGAGGACACAGAATCATTTAATCTCTTTTTCTGCAGCCTCTGTTATAAATGAACAGGAATCCTCTATACTGAGTGTTCCTGTTCATTCATACATTGTGGAGATAGTATCAGTTATTATGTACACAATCATGAATGAACAGGAAGTGATGTATATCACTTCCTATTCATTCATAACTGGTACATAGTAACTCATACTATGTCCAGATATTTACAAACAGTCAGCAATCACTGAATGTTTGTACCCGCTCTCCATCCTGGATCGGCTGTCACAGGAGGCTGAGCCGGTGGTGCGGGGAGGAGAGCTCGGTGACGCCGTCGGCTTGGCCACCTGTGACATCTGACAGCTGTCTCAGGCCCCACACTGCAGATGACAATGCTCTCCTCCCCACCCTGCTCGGCTCCTGACGGTTTCTCTCCTCCATGCTGCGCTGTGTCAGAGCGGACGCAGAACAGCGCACAGTGGGGAGGAGAGAAACTAGGAATACACCGCAATTTCGGCCAAAAGATGGCACTTTCAGCATTTTGCCCGAATTGCCATTTCAGGCCGATATGTTTTGGTGGCTGAAATTTCAGTGCATCCCTAATTCTGACTCTTAAAGCTAAATAAATGTTGCTGTAACTGCTTAAAAACTGTTACCTGGAGTTCAGATTTAATTTGTCAATCAAATCCATCTAAATCTGCAGGAGCATCTAAACCTCCCCCCTCTGCTGCTGTCCAAGGGGGGCTTCATTGCTCCTCCATAGAGAGAGCCACCCAAGGACAGGAAAAATACTAATACAGTTGCTACATTTAGGGATTGATAATCTGCAATGAATTAGATTTCTGTTTTAGGGTTTAGAAACGCTTTCACTTCTAAACATATGACAGTAGCTGTCCATATACAAGTTTGGATAAAGGAAGAGGGAGGATGGGGGAGCAGGGGTTGTGGAGTGGATTTTCACCTGCTGTCCCTTTATGTTTGTAGAGACACATAAGACCCTGCAAGGGAAAGCAGCCACCCTAAAACAGGATGTTAGGGCCAGTGCTCAGGGGACCAGCTGATTTTGCAGGAAACTAAAACTTTTAACATCAAGGATCCATTGTAAGTGATTTAGTCAGCATTTGAAATACTGTAGTTTAAAAACCTTCTGAATTTAATAACACTTTAAGTGAAAAAGACACCAAAGTTTTGTCATTTGATTTCATTAAAATCCCGTTATCTTCTGAAAGTGAAGGACTACGAAAAAGGAATTAATGATTCACAAACTTTTTTTTCACCAAGGCCTAACATTCTTGTTGCAGATGAAACCTTGGGTGTAGTTAGCGAAAGCTAAAATGAGTGCAAAGGGAACAAGGTCTAATTATACACACATGAAACGGTTTATTTTAGCACAATTAGGTGATTATCCTAAGGGAAAAATGTGTAGTAAATAAAACGCCTTTTAGGCCTCCCTACCTGGAAACACCAACCTTATAAGGTGCCCATACACTTTACAACCATCGCAAGACCTTAGTCTTGCGATGGTTGTAAAGTCATTTTAAAAAACGTACGATCTACTCATCTTGGACAGGCAGATCGTACTTGCTATCATCGCAAGCCCGCCCCCCTGAGGGGCGGGCTTCTGATGACTGCAATACTGAACGGGCAGTGTGCGCATTTTTCGGCATTTGTCTCCCGAGCATCATTCAAACCAGCCGAAAATCATAAGATTTTCGGCTGGTTTTCTAGCATGCTCCTTAGACAAAAGACGTGCGACCGCACAGTAGAAACGATCGCACGTCTTCATTCACACTGCACGATTCTCGTACGATTGCGGGATTTCCTGCGATTCTCGTACGAGAATCGTGCAGTGTATGGGCATCTATAGATTGACATGCATAGAACTACCTATTAAGATAAAATCATTATCATTTCTCTTAGTGGTTTGTACATATATGGCCACCAGTAGATAAGTATACCTACCAAAGTTTCAAAATAAAAATTAGACACATTTTAAGTCTTGCCTCTTATTCTGCCATACATTAATCATGTCAATAGGTAGATATAAAAGTTTCATATGTAATCTATTAATATAAAACCTCAGTCTGTCTTTGTTATCTTGCTATCATCTGCCCAGCAAGTCTCAGACTGGAAGAGGATGTGAAGACATCGTAAGCCAATTGGACTCTACTGTAGGGGTAGACAAACTTCCAGCTGTGGTCAAACTACAAATTTCCAAAGGCACTGCACAGCTCTGACAGTGGCAGGCATGACTTTCAGAAGGCAGATGCATGATGGGATGTGGAGTTCCACCAAAGCTGGAAAGCCAAAGTTTGGCTACCCCTACTCTACTGAATTGCACAGTGCTATGAAACTAACACAGAGAGCTTATGGCCACTAACACAATAATGCATTCAATGTAATGTGGGTGTTGTGGCATGTTGCACTAGGCAACCCATTCAAATTGAGGGCAGGACAATGAACAGAAAATGTGTAGGTGTATTTCATCACATAGATTTGTGCTGAGGATGCAATTATTTTTTTTGCTTTGCAATGCACCACAGCTTACATTTACAGTGCATTACTGTATTTGTTCATATGTGAGCAAACCCTTACCAATTGGAGGAGAGAGCTGTGTAATTACCTCATCAGTGTGCTACAGCCCCTTCAGTACCCAGTCACAGGCTGTGGTAGGGTTGCCACCTGTCCTGGATTTTGAGTCCTGTATGTGTTGTGTCTGGGAAACCCGGAAACAGCACATACAGGACTCAAAACCCGGACTGTCCAGGTGAATCCGGGATAGGTGGCAACCCTAGGCTGTAGCTGGTCCTTGGCTAACCTGTATTCAACCTCAACCGCAACTGCAGTAGAGAAAAGTGTGGTCACAGATCTGGCTTTGGTTGTTGGCTGAGGTGGGTAAGTCTGCAGAGTGGTTTAACAGAATTACAGTTTCGGAAGTTAAAACAGCTTAATTCTGATGTATATTTAGCTGCTTTATCTATGAATATGACTTCTCTATGTTTCTACACACTTTCTATTACGCCTGCTTGTTTATAAAAGTTTATTTTTGTATCTTTTTTTTATATATATTTATTTAAAAAAAATTATTTTACTAATAGGCAACTGTCAGTGGAAAATGCCAACCTGCATGAAAGCGTGGAGAAAGAGAGCAAGGAGAAGAAGAGGCTAAGTCGTACCAATGAGGAACTGGTTTGGAAGCTCCAGAGTGCTGAGTCCATGAGCCCCATCAAACATCCGTCATCACCTATAAACCATTCATCTTCTTCCAGTTCTTTATCACCCTCTAAAATCAGCTCCGCTCAGAGATGACACAATGACATTTAATACGTGACAAGCTTTACATCCTGATGTCCTAATGCTCTTGCAGTAAGTGGAGTCCTGTGACTGCAAGCGGAAACCAGTGTACCTTCCCAATACACTGGAGAGAGAAAGACCCTTTCCCTTTTTGATTATGAACTAGCCAAGGAAACAAAAACATTCCACTACAATCACATAACACGGAGAAGCCACATCAATTTTTCAGGTTACATACAGTCCAATATGCTGGGATTCTATATACAAAATATTTATTGCATACATGATTGCAAACAGTTTACAGGTTTACGTAAAATGCTTATCTGTACATATGTGAACAAGAGCTTGTCTTTCTCTTTTTTATTTTTTATTGTGCAGCTGATCTGTTCAATCAGCTATGTTTCTAACCCGTGCCTATGTCTTCTACCTGACTGGGAGGGACATTTGTGTCCGCTCTGTTTCTACTTCTTGTTGTAAGGAGAAAACACTGATCTATACAGATGTATAAGAAGAAAATCGCCTTCCAGACAGAACAACACAATCACCAGCTCAAGCAAGTTATTACAGGACAATGCTGCCTACGCAATAATCTAACGCTTCGCTCGCATGTCAAGCCTTTTTGTTTCCAGTGAGCGGCTTCTGTAGAGGCCCTCTGTTAATTGTCAACTTTTGGACTTGACTTTTTTGTAAGTTTCCATGACGTGGCCGCTGGAGGGAGCTAGGCTGCTGCTCAACCGAGAGCCACAAAAAGCCAGACCTTTAAAGATGTATATATAAGGCCTTCACTTTTACAGTTACAGTTTTAAAAGCTTTCTATTTCCCTTGGCTTGGAACCTGTTATGTTGTATTTAAATTCATTATTGTGTTATACCTAGATCCTTCTGAATCTTCCATATTCTGCTTCTTTGTGTAAGGAAATATCCTTTTCATGATAGCTCTTTTTGTATATTTTGTAACGCACAAATGTCTATAGGAATCTGCCTGCGAAAAAGCACCTAATTTTCAATTAGTTTTGATTGCGATTCTGTGCGATTTTATAACTTGGAGGTAATTAGAAGATAGAAATATTTATTTTGGAATGTAAATCACCTTCTGGTGAGTTCTTCTCTGTAAAGCAGTATGGAAGTAGAGTGCAAGTTTTGTAATCGTCATTTTATCAGCCATGCCTCATTAGACTTGCTCATGTATGTATTCACCTCTTCCACTGTGATAAAGATGCTGCATAATGGATTTCACTAGAGTTGGGAACATATCCCAGTTTGCAATACTTTGAGGAGACCATTGCTATATGTGCATTAGAGGATGAGAAAGAAGTAATACAAAATAATAGTAATAATAGTTTAGGTTAGTGATATCTTTTAAAAGGAGAACAATGAAGGGAGTGCTTTTCACTCACCTCATAGTTCTAGCCGACCTGTGACAATAAGACTGTCACAGGTCGGCTCAGTAGACCGGGAGGTGAGCGAACACATACCGGCGTTCGCTCACCTCTCGATCCTGTCACGGCTCTCTGCCGTGACAGGGGAGGGGCTGGATTCCCCCCTCCCCGCTCCGCCAGCGCTGACTGGCGGAACGGACGGGGGAGGGGGCGGGTACAGCTGGCTCTGCCTCTAGATAGGCAGAGCCAGCTGTCAGTCCCGCAGCTGGGCGGATCACGGCACAATTGTTGGGATCCACTTCAGCTGCGGCCTCTCAGTATACCGCGAGCAGCAGCTCGCGGTATACTGAGCCTAGGGTGATGGGAGGACGCTAGTTTGTGTCCTCCCGTTACCCTAAGGAGAACTATGGGGAAAATCCTTAACCACATAGTTCTCCTTTAAGGGGTGAACTCTCATGGCTTGAGTCTCACACTGGCTTCTTATATCTCTTGCTTTCCCTTCTTCATTGAGTTAAGAGGAGCTGGGAACTCAGGTAAGGAGACCTCACTAGCGGAGTCCTGGAGATCTAGAAGCCAATGGTAGAAACAGAATATAAACCTACAGAAACTGGTTAAATCCTATTCACATCTTATGTACACATTGATGTTACTACCATAGATGGGCAGATCTTGTTGGAGAACCCAAGGTCAGTGTGTGTTTAAAGTGTCACTACCCATTGTTTTATGCGTGCACTGAAATGAACATCCAATGTAAGAAATGTTTCCACATGACCACATCTTCTTAACTGTAGAGCAGGAGGATCCTTCTTTGGGTGTCCACCTTACTACCTGGGCCACGTGGACACTTATTGACTTCCAGCGGTGAGAACTGCATAAGATCCAGAAGACTGCAAGGCTGCGATGATGTCACAAAAAGGTGGCCGGTCACCATTGGCACAGACTGCAGCACTGGATCACTTGGTTTCCACACCCAGAAGTAATGAGTAAAAAAAATGGTATTTGAAAAAATAATCTTGGATGGGTAGGGTTTTAGGGAAATTGAGCATGTCTGGTGGTGGTCTATAAGGGTCAATAAAAGCAATCTTGCAAGAATCACCTACAGGCATCAATGTGGCCCTCTTACAACCATCTTTCATCCTGGCCATTTCATATTCAAGTGGATATTTGTCAACTTTTGAACATTGACAACAGCCCACATGAACACCAAATATATTCATCCTGACATCACCCTTATAAAAGTAAAAAATTTACTCACTTCTCAGATATAAAGAAGGCAAGCTACTCAGAGGATAATGAAGACCTTGGCTTTCTGCATGTTGTAGGAAAGAAGTCAGAAAAGCACAGTTGCAGTCAAAATGTCTGTGTTTGTATATGTCTATATGTCATCCAGAACACAGAGGATATAGGATATGACTAATGATCTGCCAGTGCTGGCTACAACTCAAGCATATGGCAAATCCAAACACAGCAACTATCCCCATGTGAATAAGACATATGGGGAAAAGTCAGCAGTCACAATAATTTAACCAGCCTAATATTTAAGGAAACAGTGTTCTTCCATTGCAGACCTACTTCTTACAATGTAAGTTCCCCGGCTCACTGGTTGGTATATTCTCTGGTTGACCCTGTGACATGAATGCATTCTCATTCAGTTACCTGGAACAGTAATGCATATCAAGAAAGTAAAAGGAAAGTCTGACATCTTGATCTGAATACCTTTTCTAGATCAGTGACTCTTGTATTAAAGAGCAGCAGGTCCATATGACAGCCAGGCAACTAGCATTTGTAGAATGTTACTTTCAAACAGTTACCTATGCCTGATGCAAAAAGCAGTTCTGCAGCCAAGATTATCAAGATTCTGGGTTTAGCACCCAAGCAGCGCAGGTACTGTAGTCACTCCAAAGAGCATCCTTTCAAGACAGTAGGGGGCAGAAAAAGGGGCTGATATATAAATATTCTGCCCAGCGTAGAGCTGAGCAAATGCCATTCACATGGAATTTCCACTACTAGATGGAGCCAAGAAGCATAGGAAATTCCTAACCAACCAGTGTATAGCTGGGCAGAACGTTTATACATCAGCCCATAAGTCTCCTGAGAGACTTTAAATTGGTAAGGGCCCCTGTTTTTGGGGGGGCCCGAAAAAAAAAAAAAAGATTCAGTAATGATATCTTTCCCTCACTAGAAAAGCCCAAGCTGAACAAATACCATTCCCCATGCCTCTCCACAATGCGGTGCTAGAGGAGCCAATCTCCAGGTCTGAAATGAATAGTCTTGTATAAGTCTCAGTTTTCTCAAACTTGCACAGGATCTCAGGGTGTCTAGCAGTGGATCGGGGTTGTAGAGGAGCACAGGTAGGTTAGGTAATAAAGTGACACTAAACTCAGGAATTACATTTTAAAAATGTATTCAAGTACCTTAACTATTAACAAAAATGTATCTTATTTATGTATCACTCGGCTGTAGATCCTCAAATCATCTCTGAATTGGTGCTGACACTGTCCTTCCTTCTGGAGGGGGGCTACTTTTGTTCCCCAGGGTCACTGTGTGTGTTGTAAAGTACCCACCTCTCCAAGCTCACTCCCATGATAGCCTATAATCTGACTTTAAGTTTACTCATTTGTATTGAAGTTATAGTCCATCATGTAAGTGAACTTGGAGCGGTGACAACTTTACAACACACAGTGATCATGGGGAACAAAAGTAGTCCCCCTCCTGAAGGAAGGACAGTGTCGGCACCAATTCAGAGATGATTGGAGGATCTGCAGCCGAGTGATACACAAATAAGATACATGTTTGTTACTTGGTACTTAAATGAATTTGTTTAGATTTAATTTGTGAGTTTAGCGTCACTTATACTTACCTTACCTGTACTCCTCCAACACCCTTATCCACTGCTAGACACCCCAAGATTCCTGTGCAAGTGTGAGAAAACGGGAACTTACACAAGACTATTCATTTCAGACCTGGAGACTGGCTCCTCTAGCACTGCATTGTGGAGAGGCAATCTGAGCGTCACATGATCTCCAATACCTGGAAGTGATGGGTATTTCTTGTTCAGTATTGCAGCAGACCGGGGGCGTGGAGCCCAGAGAAGGTAACTACTAGCTCTCAAAAGTCCCTCATAACTTTGCCCAGTATGTCCAAAATTTCTGGTTCATTTTAACTGCAATTGTGCCTTTCTGATTCCATCACAATCGCAGTTTTTTTTTTTTTATACCCATGTGTGCGCAAATTAAAAATGGACTCTGATGTCAGTTAACTCTAGTATAATTTTTTTTAATGTTCCCCAGCTGATGTAATTATAGAATAAGCTGCTCTGACTTCAATAGTTGCCTCCTCTTTAGCGTTGTCCCCTGCAGTAATTCTTTCCTGCCACTAGATGTCTTCAGCTTACTGGAATAAATGATGCCCAACATCATAAAACCTGGAAGACTGAGGACATCCTGTGAGCGTAGGGTGACATGGACCTGCCCCGAGGTGGCATCATGATGGCACCCTGCGCTTACATTCAGTACAGCAGAGAGTTGAGTGGATGTCACCAGGCTCCCTGAATCACTGAGGGCCGTCCTGTGCCGAAGAAGAGGCAAGAATGTAACAGGACCCTACACGTCATGTGACCGGCTTGAAGACATCTGGAAAAGGGAAGTATAAAAAAAAAAAAAAGTTGATAAGGGGGGAACCCAGAGTTGGGTTTCAAACACACCTATAAATGAAATAATTTGGGTAGATATAGTAAATCTTGTGAAATACC